GTGAGTGGGCTGCCTGAGCCCGCGGGTCGAGACCCACTTGGGCAGTGAGACCTCATCTCTACAATAAATCAAAAAATCAGCCGAGCGTGGTAGCACACACCTGTAATTCCGGCTACTCGGAAGGCTGAGGTGGAAGGATCGCCAGAGCCCAGCAGGCCAGGCTGCGGTGGCTGGGAGTGGCCACTGCACTCAAGTCTGGGCGACCGAGTGAGACTCCAACTCAAAAAAAAATATATATATATATATATATTGATTGGGAGGAAAGCAGACTGCAGATTAACATATCCTAATCTTATTTGCATAAAATCTCAACACATACACATACTATTACATATTGTTCAAGAATACATATATATGTAGCAACACATACATACATGGAAATGATAATGTCAAATTCAGGGTAGGTATTACCTTGGTGGAAGGGAAGAAAATGGGATTAAGGAACTTTCATTTTATCCAAACTGTCTCAACTTTTTAAAAAAGATTTGATAACTATGGCAAAATGTGTTGGTGGGCACATAAGGTGTACTAGACTTCTCTGCACTTTTTCTACTTGCTTAAAATATGTTCTTTTTTTTAAGGAAGTTAGCAATATTTTCTTAAATATAAAGCAATAGAGGTCATTTGCCCTGGAGAAGAAGGCAGGATAAGATGAGAACATTCCCATGTAGATCTCCACCCAGTCGGCCATGAGGTGCTAACATGATCCTGCTTGGAAAAGATGAGACTTCTCCAGTTTGGTCTGAGACAAAAGAGCTGTGGTCCCCAATGTTAGGAGGGGAGAGAGCGAAATTACCATGGCTTTTTCCTACCCCTTCTTTCCTGCCTTGTTGCCCCAGTTCCTTTCTCCTGACATATCTTCATATCTCCCTCTCAAGAGTAGCATGAAAAACCACAGCTACATTTTAAGGGAGAAATGCAGTTAACCATGTAGCTCTGTCCCTGCCACCTCTAACAAAAGATTTCCTCCAAATATTGGAAAACCTCCACGTATTAGAGATAACAAATTCCAGGTTTTGTACAATGGATTGCATACTAGAGATTTTCCCCTAGTTCAAGACATTAGACAATTAATAGAAATTCAAGCATACATGAAAGTTCTGTTGAAGTTAGTTGGCCAACAAATTATTATTGAGCCTTAAACAAAAGGAGATCATGAGAAGGAATTAGTTTATCCATTTGTGTTAATCTCAGATATTCTAATTATATGTAATAAATTGTATCAAACTCTATGTCCTTTTCAATATTATTTCTAATATAGTGATAGTTTCCAATATTATTGGATTGCTCCCTATGAATAAAATTCTCACCATGTAAATATAGGATGCTACTTATGATGGGTTCAGAAATTCTACTTAACTAGATCAAAGAGAAGTGTTAAGGATTTAATTTTACAAGGCAGCATACACATAATTTAAGTATTCTTTTATTTTGAGAGGGGGAAACAGGGAGGTACAAAGTTTTGGTTATATGAGTTGAATAAGTTCCAGAGATCTACTGTACAGCATAGTGCCAATAGGGTAACAACACTGTCCTGTATTCTTAAAAATTTGCTAAGAGGGTAGAGTTTACGTTAAGTGTTAGCATCAATAAAAAATAAAAAATAATGATAAAGAGGATATTGGAGGTGGTGAATACACTTATAGCAAAGATTGTGGTGATGCTTTTATGGGCATATACTTATCTGAAAATTTATTAAATTGTATGCATTAAATATATACAGTTTTTGTTATGTCAATCATACCTCAATAAAGCTTTTAAAAATTATTTTATTCTGAGTTGTATTTTTAATATGATAAAAATGCAAACAATCCAAATAGGTATAAAATAAAAGGTAATTCCCTTCCCACACATTGTCCGCCAATCTCCCTCCACAAAGACAACCACTGCTGTAAATTTCCTATATGTTCCTCCAAAATATCCTATACATGGACAAACATGCATCAAAAATAACTTTTTAAAAGACTGATTCCATAGGAACGATATTTCAAAATGTCTATATTCTCAACATAGCACATACATGCTTTTCTATTTAAGGCCAATCTATAGTGCAGAATCATCAGACTTGGGGTCAGACACAATATAAGTAAAACAATCACAAGAGCAAGACTTCAAAGGAGCTACAATAAAGACAACAAAGATTTTCTATTGTCATTAAACTCTTTCTAGAAAAGTGAAGAAAAAAGAATAGAGTCTCCATGCAATGTTTCAATGCTTGAGACTGGTACCAATTAGGCATAAGCAATTAAGTGACATGTAACTAGTCTGTGCTGTGTGCTGTTATATAAGGCTATCAAATACATTTAGGTAATTATTTTTCCCAAAATTTAATGAAATCTAAAAAGAACTGGTTATACAAAAACGTATCTATATTGTTACTTTCTTAATCAGCCTAAATAGCTGGATATGGTGACTCACGCCTATAATCCCAGCAATTGGGAGGCTGAGGAGAGAGGATTGCCTGAGCCCAGGGGTCTGAGACCAGCCTGGGCAAGTTGGTGAGACCTCATTTCTGCAATAAATAAATTAGCTAAGTGTGGCGGCACGCACCTGTGATTCCAGCTGCTTGGAATGATGAAGTGGAAGGATCCCCTGAGCCTAAATATTTAACCAGATCTGAAATACTGTAAGAGACTGCCCAATTAATATGTTTTAACAGCTTTGCTAAAAGATTATTGGTAATAAAGAGTTTAATTCAGACAAAAGCCTTAACAGAGAGTGTGTGATGTCAAAGAGTCCAGTTCATGTTCGTACTATTGCTTTTAACCCATAGTATTGTATAGTCCTCAAGGGCAAAAAGGATTTCTCACACTCTTTTTTCGTAAACCCATATTTAGGATCAACTTATAAGAAATGTCATCTTTGTCTTTTAGGCTCTTCTAACATATAAGAGTGACCCAGCCATGAGAAAAATGTTGAATCATCTATATTTCTATATCATGCCTGTGCTTAATGTTGATGGATACCATTTCAGTTGGACTCATGTAAGTCACTTTACCTATCCAGTGGAAAAGAGGACTAAATAAATCATAGAAAACATAGTCACAGACTTCCAGGACAGGAAGAAAGCTTGGTGGGCAGTCAGCTGAATGATTCCAGAGATGCAGAAGAGGCCTTCACTCCCACCCCAATCAGAGCACCAACCATTTGATTTCATTTTCAAATTTGGCTTTTGCGTAAGATTTCATAAAAATAAAGATTTTGCTTTCCAAGTAAATTGTGAAAAACAACTGGTCTAGTTCAACCCATCCAATTTTGTCTGTAAAGAAATGAGGCCAAAGGAAGGCAAGATATAGAAAGTTCATGACAGAAACTGGAGCATGAACCTGGTCTCCTCTGTTAATCCAGTCCTCTCTACTCCCTGGGCTTGTCTACTCACAGAACTCTCCCTTCAGTGGTATGACTTCACTAATTGAGCTGCTAAAATGTATATGAATAAACTTTTAAGTATTTTTCTCTGCACCTGTTTTGTTAATTATGTCTAGGATCGATTCTGGAGAAAAACAAGGTCAAGGAACTCAAGATTTCACTGCCGAGGAGTTGATGCCAATCGGAATTGGAAAGTGAAATGGTGTGGTAAGTTTGGGACTAATAGGGATTCAGGTTCAAGAGTTTCCTCTGGTTTTTCTCTGCAAAATGATGAGACCAGAGGACTCTAATGGGAGACTTATGTTTTTCTGTATATGAAAACATAGTAGAGAAAGGCATGAATATTTATATTTTAGTTGTAATTTGCAAAAGAAAATAGAGTTCCTTTTTAATACATAAAAATTAAGGATATAAATCTGTCAACTCAATCTCGAAAATTTAAATACATATATAAAGGCAGAAACTGAAGAATATTTGTCATTTCCAAAATTAAAACAGGAACTGTGGTTTGTGGTATAATTCTGGTGAAATGTTTTCATCCTTTTCACCCGAGTAACACTGATCCTCATCTTCATTTGTTTGTTGTGGTCAGTGCTGTCAAGTCCTTATCTAAAATCTACCAATCCACCAGTCATACATTTATTGGCCATTCACACCAGGAATATATTTCTTCTACATTCCATGTCTCATTGATACTCACCTTTCAAGTAAAGGGGAGATGTTATTAAGGAAGGGAACGCTTCTTCAGAATAGAGAGGTAGACAGGTATAGGAGTGGGAGGGGATGAGAAAATTAGTCATGGCTAGTATACTTGCTGCAGAAAAAGGAGAGGAGGGAAAATTACTGCCTAAATGCAGTTGTTGTGAGCTGCCATTTTGCAGAGTCTGTCCACAGATCCCTCAAAATAGAAACCCTTGTGTAATGGAAAGCCTTCCTTCAGTCCCTGAGAAATGAGGCCTACCAAAAACTCATTCATTCTATGATGCTTTGGGTTCTACAGGAGATGCCAACCCTCCCACCTCTACTAGTGACAGAATGATTGAGCATGGATTTAGACTCCTTCCACATACCCCTCCGAGCAAGTGGCCTCAATTAGAATTGGCAAATAAGAGTGTGACATAACTGAAAGAATATGGCTCTAAAAAAGGACAAACGTGGTCTGAGTCTACCATTACTTAACTCATTGATTTGAACAATTTTCTTTAATCCATGAAATTATAATAACAACCACTTCATGGTGTTCTAATACCGACTAGAGGAATTTGCATATGTGAAATGTCTAATTTAGTTTTTAGCTCCAAACTGGGGTCTAAATATTAGTGATCCATTCCTTCTTCCCTGAGCTCCAGAACAGAATCAATTCATATCCAAGCCTCAAATCAATTGGTGAAAAGCCTCTTTCCTTCATGGGGGTGCTGTGAAGATGAGAATAATGTAAACTTAAAAGTACTTGCGTTTATGGGGGAAGAAAAAGCATTACATAAATACTAATAATGTGGCATTATAGATGGCTATTTAGATTTAGAAATCATTTTCTCCAGCCTGAACTGAGACAAGAAACGTGTTCACATGAACTCCCTAAATCCAATAATTTTTTTCAAATTATTTTTTCCTTCTTTCCAATGGAACCGTTCTGCACACTCATAACTACGGAGATGTTTCACTAGTTTGCGGGGACTTGCATTCATATGCATGTCATATGCATGCCTACAGTCATCTGCGCAAATACACTGGATGGGTAACTGAGCTGCGTAACACTAGCAGGCCAGCCAGCTCTACCTGTGTAAAGTTAGACTCATGTTTATATCAGGTTACAAGTGAGGTCTTGCTTCTCTTTGTTCTTCTTTTACCCAGCTTGCTTCCTTCACACACACGTCTTCTTTGATTTTTGAGTTTCAACTGCAGTCCCAACTAGAATTTCTTTGATTCTTCCCAGTTTCAAATCATTCTGATTTTTCTTGTGAGTCGACACTCAAGATATACAAGGGATTATGTCAAACGCAGTTGCAAAATGATATTAATAGACTGTTGTAAGTGGTGTGGAGATGCAGGCAGTTTGGCTGGGATGCTATATCAGCCGCAAGATCTCCAGAGTAGATTCAGCTGATCTGATGGGTGGGCAGCCAGCTGCTGCCGCCTCCCTCCTGGTGTTAGATCCATCCCCCCACCACTATGTGCTGGGTGAAGAGAACAGGGAACCACACTGTGGGAATCACTCTTAGGTCACGGATATTAAAGTAAGTGTGAAATTTCCAAAGTGAACCTCCAAATAAACATTCATAACATAGATGATAAAAAATGCCCAGGACCATTGAAAATGCTATAGAGTCCAAATGAAACTGACAAAAACAACTGTTTGTCTTTCTGAAATCAGTGACTCTCGAACTGAAAGATCAAAACACGAAACTACTTTTTATCATGAAAACCAGTGAATCCCCACATGATAATAGCTATGCTTTAGCACATCAATGTGAAGTAGACCATTTCAGGCATTCACGTGGAGACAGGTGCACCTTTCCAATACTTCACAGCTCCTCTGGGGGTCTTCAACCCATGAGATAAATATCATTTGTCTAAAAGTTCAGCAAAGGGACTCAACACGTCAGAGTAATAGTGTGAACCAGGAATAAATATAAAAACTTCATTCATTCATGTGCCAAAGTTGATCGAACAGATTCTCTCTCTGAAGCCCTGTGGTTTTTCCTTCCTCTCCACACTCTTTTTAGAGTATACTGTGAGTATCAGTTTTTCTAAATTGGAACAAATCCAGAGGAGAGGCAAAGTGTTTGAATAATATTCATAATGAAGTTTTATCTTCTGAATAATTCAAGTGATGCCTAAACATAAATTACTATTTATTTATTACTATTTTATTTACTCACAGAAGGATGGCATCCAATAATCTAATGGAGTACAGATGTTTATTAACTCCTTTTTATAAGATGGGGGAAATATGGCAATTTGAGGGATAGTAAATCATTTTTAGGGAAATTCATTGAGTTTGCAGAACATACAGTGGTCCAAGACAAAGTCTATGGGACCTATGGAGCACATGGTTTGTGACAAAAGTCTGTCCAGGGTGTTGACAGTCTTCAGTTTCTCTTCCTGCAATATGAGTTAACGAAAACTCAGGGAAAGGACCAGAGCTAACTGTTTTCTTCATTGGCATGTTTAGACTTTGGATAAAAAAAGGAACTTTGGAGTAAAGCTTCTTCCAGCATCTGCTGGTCTCCAAGGGCTTTTAATGTAAAATAATCAGCATACCAGTGTGCCATATTTGGGGGCATCCATTTCTAAACCCCAACACAAGGATTTGTGGAATTGGATCTGCTCTCTGGGTCTAAGAAATGATAAGAAAAACCCAAAGTGATTTTTCTGTTCTTACACAGTCACTCAATACAACACTTCTGACACCAGATGTGTGAGGGTTTTATCCCGAGGTTGTGATCTGTACTTCTGAATGGCCAGCTATAAATCAGAGTTCTCATGACCCCCTCCTCTAGTTTGACTAATTTGCTAGAGAGGATCACAGAACTCAGGGAAACACTTTACTTATATTTACCTGTTTATTATAAAGGATACAGATGAACAGCCAGTTGAAAGACATGCATAGGGCCAAGTACGGGGGAAAGACTGAGGAGCTTTTATGCCCTTCTCAGATATGCCACCCACCAGGAACCTTCTTGTGTTCAGCTATCCAGAAGCTCTCTGAAATCAATTTTTCCAGGATTTGTATGGAGACTTCATTATGTAGGCATGCTTGATTAAATCATTGGCTATTGGTGGTCAATTTAACCTTCAGTCCTCTTCTCTTCCAAGAGGTAGAGCAGTGGAGCTGAAAGTTCCAACCCTCTAATCATGCAGTGGTCCTTCCTGTGACCTGTCCCATCCTGAAAATATCTGGGAACCCCCAGTCATCAGTCATCTCATTTGCATACAAAAGATACTCATCACTCCAGAGAGTTCAAGGATTTTAGGAGCTGTATGCCTGGAAACAGGATGAAGACCAAAAATATATATTTCACAGCATCACACTGGGGATGTGATGAAGTACTGAATCTGGCTTCAAGGTAAGCTCTGGGAGAGAACTAATCCACATCAAATTTTCAGAGGCATGGAACTCACAGCAAGAATGCACTGCCTTCTAAGAGTGAATTTCTGTCACCGACATTTATAGGCAAGACCTGGCTCACTTTCTACTGAGAAGGATATGTTGACGGGATTAGACATCAACTAACTGATCAAACTTTAAGATTCTTGCCACGTCTGTTAGTGATGATTCTAACATACGTTAATTAACCTAATTTTAAATCAAAACAAATATGCTGAGCACCTTCAGTAATGCAAGGTGCTATAAATTATATCAGAAAGTCTTGAAAAATTTAATGAGTTCACAGCCAACTCCTAAGAATTTACTTGGGATTCTAGAGAAATATAAAGGGAAAAATCTATTGGCTTATTCTGTTCTTTGCTTTACAACCAATGTCATATAAAAAGATATATCAATTACCTAATAACTGTGAAATTTGCTAACACTCTAATCATGCTGTGGTCTTTCCTGTGACCTGCCCCATCCTGAAGCTACCTACGAACCCCAAGTCATCAGTCATCTCATTTGCATACAAAAGACACTCATTACTCCAGAGAGCCCAAGGATTAGGAGTGGCAGAGAAATTTTAAAACTAGATCAATGAGCTAATTATTATGCTTAGTTGTGCTGTTTATAAAAGGATTTAAGAGCATAGAGACTTAGAAATTTAGATCCTAAGGATTTGTTCACTGTTGTTGATATATGACTGACATTTATTAAGGATTCATTATGTGCCAAGCATGAGCTAAGTGCACGACATGAATTTCTCATTGGTAGATGCTATTATTTTCCCGATTTTACTGATGAAGAAATTAAGAGTCAGAGAAGTTAAGAAACTTGCTCAAGATGATGAATTGAACTAGAATGGAAAGTCAAATCTGACTGACCCCAGGGTCTGTTTCTAATCACTCGTCTGACTCCTTAACTTGCCAAGAATGATCACTCTCAATCCACTTAGTTAAGAGTTAAGCAATGTGGCTGCAAAGGAGAAGTTTAAGTATCAGAAGAATAATAGAAATGGGACTGCTTTATCCAAAATGAAACAGACAAGAAAAAGCAAAAGATTGGGAATATATGGTAAAAGGGAAGATGGAAAAGATCCCTCAGGTGCTATTTC